CCGTCGTCACTCTCTATCAGTGTTGGGAGTAACGCATTACAAAAGTAATACATTACTGTAACATATTACTTTTTGCTGTAACGCAGTAGTGTAAGGCATTACTAATCAATTTTTAGTAATATTTTACTCGTTACATGTTCAGTGAGGCTTGTATTACAGTTGTATTACAGTGTATTGTCTGCTTTTACTTCTTAAAGGCAACAGACTATGTGAAAGTTTTAAAGCAGTCTTTTAGTGCCAGTTCAGAGCGGTCGCGTCTGTAACATTGTTTTTTCCTCATAAATGCGAACACAAAAACTAAAATAAAATGAATATTTTAAGGTCTATGGAGACTGGAGAGCCAACCCTTCCTCATCCGATTTGCGCAGTGTAATTAACAGAATTACAAAAAATATATTTTGCCTCCTATTTTTTTGTCACGCATGAATGTGTGTCTTTTCCCTAATATTAAAAATAAAACATAGACTGATATTTGTCTAATGTCTGGAGTCCTTTAAGGAAGTAGCCTATATACGTTTTAATACATGTATTTTCTGAGAATTTTTATTTCAAGTTTTGACTGCAAATGTCATCATGTCCATAATGCTGGACTTTCCCAATTTTCAATAATTTATCCTCAACTAGTTTTGTGGTTAACTTCAAATGTTAACTTCAAATAATACTAATAGCCTAATTTAAAGATAAGGCAGCATTTGATCTGGACGGTAAGGAGAATAACGCTGGAGTTGGAAGAGGTGTGTCGCGATTCTGTAGGTTCGTGGATCTGAGTCGTGCGGCGAATCGCGAAAGATTTCGGTTTCATATTGCATATCGTTACAGCCCCAAAGTTAAGTTCTACTTAGTTATTTTGGTGAAAGTAACTCAAAAGTAATACATGAGTAATGTAACGCATTACAATTCTGAGACAGTAATATTGTAAGGTAATGAATTACTTTTAAATAACAGTAACAAGTAATACCTAATGTATTACAGTTTGGAAGTAACTTGCACAACACTGCTCTCTATAGCTGCATCTCCCCATTCAGTGAATGGCTTAAAGGAGGTGCACGGCCGCTGGCAGACGTGAATGAGCAGTGTTTTTCCACTGACTTATCACTTATCTGCTTTTTGTTTTATATTTAAAGAATTTATTTTTATCATCTTAATTCCATTTCTTTTCTTGTGCTTGTTATTACTTGTAACACTCACTATCACAGAGCTTAGTTCATCCGGTTCCCTAACTCTCTCAAGTCAGATAATGTTCCACATAGGCCTATAAAAAATGTAATCGCTGCGTTTCTGGTCATTCTCCTCTGACCCCTCTGGCCATCACAAGGCATTTTCACCAACAGAACTGCCGCTCAATAGATATTTTCTCCTTTTCTGACCATTTTCTGTAAACCCTAGAGACCCTAGCAGTTTCTGAAATACTCACAGCAGATTGTCTGGCATCAACAACCATTCCACGTCCAAAATCATTAAAATATAATTTTTCCCCATTCTGATGCTCCATTTGAGCTGGAGAGTGCATTTCTAGGAGTTTGCATAGTGCTTCAAGGTCTGTCCGATAAGATTGCGAAAGCACCATTGCGTAAGTGCTCCATCACACAGTATTGTATCCTTTTAAATGGTTATGTAGTCAAAATGTAGGCTTGATTCCAGTTCACTAAACGCTAGTGAGATAAGTACTATTTTGACGTGATTGTGTTTCAGGGCTATTTTTAAATACGTGTTGGTGGATGATAAATGATTATAAGTAATGTTTCACTATTTCCTCGTTCCATTAGAGGAGGAATAACATACCCCTCCAGGCTGTAACTTTATTCTCTCCTTTTTGAACAGATGTGCACTGTCTTGTCCAAAAATGTACTGGAGAGTGTTTGCACAGCAAAATGAGCTCAAGGGTTTTTTGTATCACAATTGTTATGTTTTATCATGGCCTTCCTCTGAACCACATGCTGTTTTCAAATGCTTTTAAACAGACTGTGAAAAAGATTGTGAAATTAAAGAGAGTAACCAAACTTAAAGGGTTAGTTCACCCAAAAATGAAAATTATGTCATTAATGACTCATCATTTTGTTCCAAGCCTGTCATATTGTCAATCTTCGGAACACAGTTTAAAGGGATAGTTCACTTAGAAATTAATTTTTGATATGTTTTAGTTTACCTCAAGGGCATCCAAGATGTAGGTGTCTCTGTTTCCATAGTATTTTCAATTTTGATATTTTTGGGTCAAACCGTTGTTGTCTATCAGTCATATAATGGAGGTTTATGGGGTCCACCTCAAAGAAAGAAGTCCAAATTAAACATGATTTAATGACTCGTAAATGTCAGTACACACTGATGGCCTAAGACACGAAACGAGCGGTTTGTGTGAGAAAACAAACAGGATTTATATCGTTTTTACCTCTTGTAATCACAGCCACGTCCAAGTGATCTGAAGGCACGGGCACTCGGGCAGGTAAAACTTCCGAAATCTCTGTAAACAATGAGTGACGTACATGCGCGAGAGATCACTTCCAGCGTATGCGCAGATCAGTTGGACGTGGCTGTGGTTACAAGAGGTAAAAACAATATAAATACTGTTCGTTTGCTCACACAAACCGCTCGTTTCGTGTCTAGGGCCATCAATGTGTACTTACATTTACGAGTCATTAAATCATGTTTAATTTGAGGTAGACCCCTTAAACTTGCATTATATGACTGATAGACAACAACGGTTTGACCGAAAAATATCAAAATTGAAAATATTGTCTTGGATGCCCTTGAGGTAAGCTAAAACATACCAAAAATTAATTTCAAAATGAACTATCCCTTTAAGATATTTTAGATTTAGTTTAAGAGTTTTCTGGCCCTCTATTGAAAATGTATGTGCGGTACATTGTCCTTCTCCAGAAAGGAAATACAGACATCATCAAAGTAGTCCATGTGACATCAGTGGGTTAGTTACAATGTTTTGAAGCATCGAAAATACATTTTGGTCCAAAAATGTTGTCAATTCTGTTGTCAATCCACTTCAGTGACGCTGCTGACGTGTGTCCGAGCTTCATTTACAGCCTGAGGGAGACGCACGTTCAGTGGTGTAGTCTAGTTTTTTGTAGTGAGTATACTGTGATATACCAGCAAATACCGCGATTCGATCCGTGTCGCTGCGCAAACACAGCCGTCACGGCGGGCGGGGTGAATTTATGAATGAAATTTCTTTCACAAAACGATGTTGTTACGAATCCTCACGCTTTTTAAAGTGGGTATACGGAGATCTTTGACATCCTAGTGGGCCTACGGAAATCCTTGACATTTTCTAGTGGGTATACGGCATATACCTGCGTATCACGTAGACTACACCACCGCACACGTTGTAAACAAAACAATATTCACAAACACGTCTAAGGATTCCGACACAGAGGAAGACATATTTATTTGAACCCGAATACACGGACGCACCAGACACACGTCAGCAGTGTCTTACGTCATCAGCGTCAGTGAACGCGGATCCACAACAGAAGCAGAAGAGAATACAATGCTCGTAGGCTGTAGGGTTGGGTATCGATAATCGAGTATCGATTGGAACCGAGACTAACTTTTCGTTTTTCCCGGAATCGTTCAAAAGTTAAAATTTCGATTCCTACTTTCGATATTCACAGTCCGCCGAGCGGAAGAAGAAACCGCTGAACAACATCAACGAAGAAGCGTCTACCGGAAGTGTTGGCATAACCACGCGAGTCGAACATGAGTACCTTACGTCGACGATCCAAAGTGTAGCTTCACTTTTCTAAAAATAACGAAATCTCGGCAAAATGCAAAATTTGTCACAAAAGGAGTATTTTTACAGAAGGAGTATTTCCTTCAGAAAGGCCGTTGGTTAGCAAGGTTAGCTAAACTTTTTTGACCCTGACTCTTAAAAGAATCGAGAATCGTTAGGAACCGGAATCGAAACAAGGAATCGGAATCAGAATCAGAATCGTTCAAATTCAAACGATACCCAACCCTAGTAGGCTGTGTCCGAAATCTCCCACTACTCACTAAATAGTGGACTATATGGTGAGCTCGCCATTTTGTAGTGCTGTCTGAATGTATAGTGATGATTATAATACCCTATATAGTCCACTCAATGTATCCCAGAATGCATTTTGAAAAGTAGTGTTCAGTCGATGGTCACTAACCCAAGCCCTACATACCATCATGCATTGCGCTGTTCGTAAAAAAGACGGACGGACGACAGCAATGACGTAATCAACGGCGCCGAGAGACGATCGAGCAGTGTCCGAAAGTGGTGTTTCTATTATGCTGGTGAGCTCACTATATAGTGCAATAACTGGGAGTAGTGGTTTAAGTGGAGATTTTGGACACAGCCATAGTTTTTGTTATTTTTGGACCAAATTGTATTTTTGATGCTTCAAAAGATTCTAACTAACCCACTGATGTCACATGGACTACTTTGATGATGTCTTTATTTCCTTTCTGGACAAGGACAGTATACCGTACATACATTTTCAATGGACAGAAATCTCTCTGACTAAATCTAAAATATCCTAAACTGTGATAATGCTTCCTGCTCCAGTGCATTACATTGTAACGGTGTCACCTAACCATCTGTGAAGTGACTTTCCGTATTCACTTGATGTCATAAAGCTGTGTTGAATTCCAAAATGTGATTCATTATGTAAACTCTTTCAATGTTACTAAAGAGTCAAGTTTTGAATACAGTTCCAAATTGGCTCAAAGTCCAGTTTCCAGTCCAGTCTTTCTTTCATTTTTTCCATTTACCATCAAAAACTTTTGATGAGGTATACTTTTCCCCTCTATTCCATGCTCAAAACTCTTCCTTAAAAAAAGAAAAACTTAAAGGGGAAAAAAGAGACTAAAAACTATGCCATAAAGTCACTTTGGACATTGATTTGTGCACATTACAGAGAATTAGCTGTTTATAATATCAATGCAATGATGATTCATTGGATTTTATCTATGAGTATTTGTTTGCATGTGTGATGTTTTTTGACATTATTCCTACTTTGTCTCAGATGAATGTGAACCATGGAATAACACGCCAAACGCAGTTCCTGTTGGGAAACAGCCTGTTGACACGAGAATTCGAATTCAGTGTGAAAAGGGCTACGTGAGGAAAGCAGGAACATCTAACCTGCTAATCTGCAAAGAAAATAATGGCAACATATCCTGGGATAACAAACCTCCACTCGAGTGCATACGTAAGATTCTTGCTTTTTGCTGAGAGATGTCCAGGGCTCATGACATGTCCGCTCCCTTAAATCATGACCACAATATAAATAAAATGATGGAACAAATGAATAAACCAAGGATTCGATGGATTCCTTCTAACATTTTTTGTCTTAGATGTTTTGGCAAATTGATAATTAAAGCCACTGAGTACTCCTTTAGAGTCTGTGCCCATCATACACTATGTAATTTTCTGCAAAATCTGTCAAGTCTTACTGCTCAATACCTACTTTTGGCAACAAGTGCTGAGTCCGTTAGACTGAAATCTGGAAAAAATTCTGCAAAAGTCCAGTGTATTCCAACCTCAAAGTGTGGTTGGAATACTTTTGACTGAAGCAGTGTCGGCTGATTGCTTTTTAAAAACATTTGTTTTGGTCTGTGCGATACTGCACGTTGTCAATTTACCCAACAGTATTTTGACACCCTGGAATGCCAGTTGGGCGGGAACACCCGCATATTACAGCCATGAAATCCAGCAAACAAACTGGGTCAGCGATCGCAGATTCTACCTGACCTAAAAAGCCTCCACACCCATATAGAAATCTTTATGAACAGGAGCATAATAAAACGTGATATCAACTCATCATAAATCAATCAGGCATGTGATTGGCTAAGGACAAAAAAGCAGGAAAATACACGGATTTTTTTTTTTTACTCTTGCTTTTTTCCGCAAAGCGAGAGTAAATGTTCAATCAAAGTCAAATATAGTCTTCACTATATAAATTATACATTGATTGTTATTAAAGCTACTATTAAAGTTCTCAGTCAAGAGCAGTGAGTGATTTCCTCTGTGTTTTGTTGTTTAATTAACATTAAATAGATAGTTCTCCCAAAAATTGTAATTGTCATAATTTACTCTCTCAAGTTGTTTTAAACCTGAATAAGTTTCTTTCTTCTGTTTAAGTTATTTGGAAGAATGTGGGTAACCAAACAGTTGATGTACCCCAGTGATTTCCATAGTAAATTTTTCCCTATGGAAGTCAATGGGGACCAGCAACTGTCTGGTCACCCACATTCTTCCAAATATCTTCTTTTTTGTTCAGCACAAGAAATAAATTAATACAGGTTTGGAACAACATTACAGTGAATAAATAATGACAGAATGTTTATTTTGGGGTCAACTATCCCTTTAAGAACAAGCGGCTGCATTTTTATTATTAGGGCTACTGTCACTTTAAGACCTGTACGCGACACGTCTAATATACATGGAGCATTTGACAAGCAGATTTCTCTCAATTTTCTAGGTTTGCTTTGAGTTTAGACATAACCAAATGTTCTTATGTAAACCTTGTGTGTATTTGAGAGTATTAGCGAAATAATACTCGAAAGATAACTTAGTCCAGCAACCAGGCGCTGTTAGACAAGCTTTAGTTCATGTGCACGTCGGGTGTTCGCGCTCAGAACAGCGCATCAGCAGTGAATGACATCTTTAACCGGCAAGTACGGAGCTACGGAGCCCCCCTAGTCCCACTTTGGCAAAAAAAATTAACTATAACTATCTTGTGGCCTCAAGATACTAACTCGTGGCCTCAAGATACTAACTCGTGGCCTCAAGATAGTAACTCGTGGCCTCAAGATAGTAACTCGTGGCCTCAAGATAGTAACTCGTGGCCTCAAGATACTAACTCGTGGCCTCAAGATAGTAACTCGTGGCCTCAAGATACTAACTCGTGGCCTCAAGATAGTAACTCGTGGCCTCAAGATAGTAACTCGTGGCCTCAAGATACTAACTCGTGGCCTCAAGATAGTAACTCGTGGCCTCAAGATACTAACTCGTGGCCTCAAGATAGTAACTCGTGGCCTCAAGATTCTAACTCGTGGCCTCAAGATAGTAACTCGTGGCCTCAAGATAGTAACTCGTGGCCTCAAGATACTAACTCGTGGCCTCAAGATACTAACTCGTGGCCTCAAGATAGTAACTCGTGGCCTCAAGATAGTAACTCGTGGCCTCAAGATACTAACTCGTGGCCTCAAGATAGTAACTCGTGGCCTCAAGATAGTAACTCGTGGCCTCAAGATAGTAACTCGTGGCCTCAAGATACTAACTCGTGGCCTCAAGATAGTAACTCGTGGCCTCAAGATACTAACTCGTGGCCTCAAGATAGTAACTCGTGGCCTCAAGATAGTAACTCGTGGCCTCAAGATACTAACTCGTGGCCTCAAGATAGTAACTCGTGGCCTCAAGATACTAACTCGTGGCCTCAAGATACTAACTCGTGGCCTCAAGATAGTAACTCGTGGCCTCAAGATAGTAACTCGTGGCCTCAAGATACTAACTCGTGGCCTCAAGATACTAACTCGTGGCCTCAAGATAGTAACTCGTGGCCTCAAGATAGTAACTCGTGGCCTCAAGATACTAACTCGTGGCCTCAAGATACTAACTCGTGGCCTCAAGATAGTAACTCGTGGCCTCAAGATAGTAACTCGTGGCCTCAAGATACTAACTCGTGGCCTCAAGATAGTAACTCGTGGCCTCAAGATACTAACTCGTGGCCTCAAGATACTAACTCGTGGCCTCAAGATACTAACTCGTGGCCTCAAGATACTAACTCTATCTTGAAGCCACGAGTTAGTACAAGGCTTTTTTTACAGATCTGCATGATTCACGTAGGTCACATTTTCAGGTCGGAAAATACGGAATTCCGGATTAATCCGGAAAAATCACATCCCTGATCAATAAATCAACTCATTAACTTGCAAGTCTTCGCCTTCCATTGTCAGTAGCAGCTTGTTCCTGTTGCGTGTCCTCAATCTGGCAACCCAGGGCAGCAACAACTCTCTTCAAAATTTTGAATTTGGACTGCAGTACCCATTTCAAACACTAGGTGTCAATCTCACATTCTGCACCTTTAAGGCCTCGTCCACACTACTGCGTTTTCATTTAAAAACGGAGAATTACAATGAATACGATCTCCGCCTACTTCAACACGGCCGGTTTAGCCCCGCCCACCGATTCACGCATTACACGCATAGCTAAATAACATAGATGCCTACCTCGTGATGACAAACCGGATCGAGCTACCGAGCAATACAGAATATTGTGTAAGAAGACAGTCGCTGCATGAGCTTCCTCTGGATTCCAATACGACTGCATGGATAAACTTTATTTTTAATGACGTTCCAGCTGATGAGGGTAAAATATCGTCGTCTGTTCGCTTCATTTCACTGATGATTGTTTTGTAAACAAGACTGGATTTGCAGACCGATTAAGAGTAAAGAACGGTGCTGTGCCGTCTATATTGGATCTGACAGGAATTGTGCAACACACGGACTCTAGATCGAACATGTATGGGCGAATCATTCCGGTTGCCATTTTACAACATTGGACGTTTTCAAAACAATTTCCCCCAAGTGGATCGACGGGTGAGTCGAAACTCATTATAATATGCAAAACTGTTATCCACCCACAGCAGTGGGCGTTTACTTCCAAGCATTCAGTGCGAGACGCCCATAATAACCGAGCGTTTTTCAGCTAGGCTCAAAACTAGCCTATTACTTATTCATTTTGATGTTTTTGAATGCAAAAACCAAGCGAACATTTAAAAAGCCAGTTCATGACCCCTTTAAAAGATCTTTATTTGTGTTTCAAAGTTGAACGAAAGTCTTATGGGTTTGGAACGACATAACCGGCAGAAAGCCGGCAGTCGGAAGATTACACTAGGTCACCATTGTCATTTGTCTCTGTTTCTGCCTTAAAAAACACTCAAAACAAATAACGACAATAATGACATGCTAAAAAACACTCCTTAGTAATTACACAACAACGTCTTGACAACCACTCACTCACAGCACCATTAGGAAAATCACATTTTCTTCTGATGATTCTAAAATGTATAAGTTGATGATCAATGTGCTGATTTTATTATTCCTTCTTTGCAGGTGATCCCAAATTACCGATGACAAGTAAGTACAATCTTAAGTACCAATTCCTCCCTGTCTTTCTGTGTCTGTTGATCAAGTGAAAAGTGAAGTTTGTGGTTTTAACATTAACATTGGGAATACAAGCAATCTTTTCATAGCGCTTACCTTACGGTGTGTTTACATTTTGGGGGGGAATTAACCAACAAAAAGTTTACATGATATGTCTCTGGATATAACACGTATAACAACAACAAAATAATTGCGCACATTACTTTTAAACCCTGTGACTTACCAAGATTGGCTCAAGACTAAAGCGTCCTGTATTATATATTTGTTTCAACAGAGACTACAACACCCACCACAGAAAGAACAGAAATGAAGACTACCGCATTTCTTGGCACAAGCAGGCCAACCACAGGTATATATGTTATAATATGCTTGTATGTGTTGATATTTTTGGGTAGAACCATATTTATGTTTATTATATGACACACTCCAGCAACAGGGCATATATCTTTGACAACAACAAATGAAGTTGTCACAACCAAAACAAGAAGAACTACACGCCTGACAACTTTGAAGAGCATGACAAAAGAGGCAGAGTCTTTTACAACAACCAATGAAATTACTTCAACTAATTCAACATCCAGCAGCTTCACAAGCAGAGATTATAAGACAACAACATCGTCACATACGCCGTCAAGCTCGATCACTTCAATAAAAGGTGAAGCCGTTCACTGTGATGGGTTGAAATGCATGGGACTAACTTTAATGGAATAATTCACCCACAAAATTAACATCCGCTCGTTATTTACTCACACTCGTGTTGTTCCAAACCAGCTTGACTTTCTTTCTCCCGTAGAACCCAAAAAGAGAAGTTTAGCAGAATGTTCACACTTTTCCACAACACATAATAACCAAGATTTTTTTAGCTCTTTATTAGCTCATATTTAAACTTTCTACTGCAAGATATGCCACAACAAGCTTGAAAAAGTCATAGAGGTTTGGAAAAACATAATTGATGACAGAATTTAAAATTGTATTTATCTTAATTTCGCTAGAGCTATGTTTATGTAAATGTACTAACACTTATACAGTAACATTTACTAAATAGTTGCACCACTTTTGCACATCAGCATAATACTTACGATTTACTATTACTATTATTGACTGACCATCAGTTGGTGCAGAGCTGATATTGTACTTCGTCTTCAATATTTAAAAAAAGCCATTGACTCTCCTTTTTGTGCAAACACGCCTCCTTTAGGCCGGCTACAGATTGCGCGGTAAATTCACAAAAGTTGCCCGGCACAATTTGTATTGCACTATTACTGCCAAATGAAAGTAAATGAACGTAGCCTAAGCTTTATAAAAAAAAAGATGTTTGAGTGCACTTTCTAGCAATTATGGTAATTGTAACCAGCCGAAGGCATTGCCAACCCCTGTTATTTTATTTAAAGTAATCTAAAGAGACTAAAGTAATCTGTGTGTGTGTGTTTGCACCATTACCTGATCTACATTATTCCTAAAATCTAAATATGTTTTTCAAAATGAAGTGATTCCTGTGGGGATTTTTAGTCATTATTTAATGATTCCTGTGATGAAATAGTGTTTGGTATATATAAAGACTTTATAGTCGAACTTTAATTTGAAGCAAAACAGGATGTGAACCAAACTTTGCTTAGATTTTACTTCCTGTTTTTTCAGAAAGAAAAAAAAAAGACCTTCATATTGCAAAACCCACAATAACTTACCACACACACCCGACACGAAAATTAGACCTTGTGGGCAGAGCTCTGACTTTCTAGCACCATTTAAGATGTTTATTGATAAAACTAAATTTAAGACTTTTGAAGACCCGCAGAAACCCTGTACATTACTAGATATTGCTAAACTGTAAAAATTTTTTTGTTGGTTTAACTTAAAAAAGTAAGTAACCTGGTTGCCTTAAAATTTTAAGTTGATTGAACTGGAAAAAGTGAGTTAATTCAATGAAGGAGATTAATTTAATCATCAGAAACTCAAAATAATAAGTTATCTGAACTAAAAAAATTAAGTTGATTTGACAAAAGAAAAAATGCTGTGATAACAAATCTTGGAAATATTTTTTTTTTACAGTCACCGACACCCAACATAGCAGATAGGCCTTCAAACAGAAATTCCTGTTCAAATTTTTCACTTGAAAATACTGAATCCCTGTCTCTAAAACTGTGCTAGTTTGTCATTTTCTAAGAAGTTGCAACTTGCAACATGCTCTTTTAAAGCTTCTATCAATATTTTTTTCTTACGAATATTTTGGGAACACCATTAGCTTACACAAAGTGGACTTATTAGGCGTACTGTAGATGCGTGCAGCGTGTGTGTAGGTAATTCTGACCGATCTGCTCTTTTCTGGCGAACATGTGTGTGATTTTTCAGCATCTTTCTATGTCTGCGTCCAGGGCTTTTCCCTTTTTTATTCACTCACTCTCTGCTCCTCCTTTGCGTTTACGCTCCATTTATTTGTACAGTTGTCGGATAGCCAAACAGGTTGTGCGTTGTTGATGTTGGGTCATGTGGTGGTGTCCTTTTCACACAGGATTGCCTGATTCGTAGATTCTAAGGTCTGTCAATTTATTCCGAGCTACTGTACATATCAGCCTATTACACATCAAGCTGACTGCATGGCAGTTGGCCCGTCCGCTCCTACTTCCACCCCTGGAATGCGATTTTAATCACAAAACCCGCTGAGATTAATGAAAATGTGTGTTGTAATGTTGGGATTGGCTCAGACACAGCATTGCCGAACTAGTCCTGCCTCTTTGTCTTTTTTTTCTTTTCTTTCTTTGTACTAATACTTAGTTAAATTCGCTAAACAGTTGCACCACTTTTGCACATCAGCATAATACTTACCATTTACTGTTACACTGTAAAAAATATTTTCAAGATTTGTTATCACAACATATTTTCTTTTGTCAAATCAACTTCATAATCATTTATTTAGTTGAGATAACTTATTATTTTGAGTTTCTGATGATTAAATGATTCTTGAGTGCACTTTCTAGCAATTATTACTAGCCGAAGGCATTGCAAACCCCTGATTTTTGTGTGTGTGTTTGTACCGTTATTCCTAGGATCGAAATCACTCAAAATTGGCTCACCCTCCTGTTTTTCAAAACTCATTTGGCTTGAGGGAATGCAGTAATATGAGTTATTAACAGCAGCTGCTCCTAACATAAATCTTCCGACTTGGAAGAAGAATCTTATTGACTGATTTGATGATGCTATTTTGTCAGCCACATTCATCTACACATATAGTGTTCGTTTTTCAAAATGTTTGTATAAATTTCTCCTTTGGTGATAAGTAAGTGGATTCTCACATGAGTATTTACAATAAGAGTGAACTATACCTTTAAAAAGGTCATATATCGTAGGCCTTCCTTTTTTTATAATTTAGGCCATTTTTTTTAAGTTTTATAATTTACTTTCTGACCTTTACAATAAATTACTTCGTTGTTTTGTTTGTTTGTTTTTGCTGCTGCATCTTTATGAACTTCTTTATCTCAAAACATTCCTCATGACCTCTTGGATGACGTCTTTGGCATGGTCGATTAACATTTACCACATGTTTGCTTTCAATCCATGAACTATATAACTGACAGTAATAATAATGCTAAACTTCTCTCATCCTCATGTTATTGCACTCGCTCTTTCAAAACCCACTCTCATTGTTCTCTCCCATTTTTATTAGGAGTCACTGTGTGTGTGAACACCTCTACTGTTTCTGAAGGTAATTTATTTGCTTGTAGTTAAATATCCTCTAACTTTTAGATTTATTGAAGCTTGTTTCCGCCACTGAATATAAAAATAAAATAAATAATTGTGACTTTTTATCTCGCAATTATGACTTTATTTCTCAGAATTGCAAGATAAAAAGTCAGAATTGACTATTTCTGACTTTATATCATGCAATTCTGACTATATCTCGCAATTCTGACTTTATATCTCGCAATTCAGACTTTATATCACACAATTCTGACTTTATATCTCACAATTCTGACTTTATATCACACAATTCTGACTTTATACCTCGCAATTCTGACTTTATATCACGCAATTCTGACTTTATATCTCGCAATTCTGACTCTATATCTCGCAATTCTGACTTTATATCACACAATTCTGACTTTATATCTCGCAATTCTGACTTTATATCTCGCAATTCTGACTTTATATCATGAAATTCTGACTTTATATCTCGCAATTCTGACTTTATATCATGAAATTCTGACTTTATATCAGAATTTCTGACTTTATATCACGCAATTCTGACTTTATAACTCGCAATTCTGACTTTATACCTCGCAATTCTGACTCTATATCTCGCAATTCTGACTCTATATCTCGCAATTCTGACTTTATATCACACAATTCTGACTTTATATCTCGCAATTCTGACTTTATATCTCGCAATTCTGACTTTATATCATGAAATTCTGACTTTATATCTCGCAATTCTGACTTTATATCATGAAATTCTGACTTTATATCAGAATTTCTGACTTTATATCACGCAATTCTGACTTTATAACTCGCAATTCTGACTTTATACCTCGCAATTCTGACTTTATATCACGCAATTCTGACTTTATATCTCGCAATTCTGACTTTATATCTCGCAATTCTGACTTTATATCACACAATTCTGACTTTATATCTCGCAATTCTGACTTTATATCACGCAATTCTGACTTTATATCTCGCAATTCTGACTTTATATCATGAAATTCTGACTTTATATCTCGCAATTCTGACTTTATATCATGAAATTCTGACTTTATATCAGAATTTCTGACTTTATATCACGCAATTCTGAATTTATATCTCACAATTCTGACTTTATAACTCGCAATTCTGACTTTATAACTCGCAATTCTGACTTTATATCTCGCAATTCTGACTTTATATCTCACAATTCTGACTTTATATCTCGCAATTCTGACTTTATATCATGAAATTCTGACTTTATATCCCGCAATTCTGACTTTATATCTCTTAATTCTGACTTTTTATCATACTTTTATATCATATCTCGCAATTCTGACTTTATATCTCGCAATTCTGACTTTATATCTCACAATTCTGACTTTATAACTCGCAATTCTGACTTTATATCTCGCAATTGCGACTTTATATCACGCAATTCTGACTTTATATCTCGCAATTCTGACTTTCCATCTCGCAATTCTGAGAAATAATGTCAAAATTGTGAGAAGTAAACACGCAATTGTGAGAAAAAAAGTCAGAATTGTGAGATAAAAAGTCGCAATTACCTTTTATATTTTTCATTCTATGGCGGAAACAAGCTTCAATATAGATTAGATTAGATTAGTTTAGATTAGATTATAGCTCTGGATATTATCTCAACCAGCTTCATTTTTACTAAAACAGTATGGCTGCTTCTGAAAAGGCATACTCTCGAGTAGGTAGTACTTAATTTGAATAAGTAATTACTTCAAGAGCACTAAAAATATGTTTTATATAGTATGAATGTAATCTGGACTTCATGTGACCTACCAGCATTAGTTGTGTAGCTTCAGCTCCATTCTATTTATGTGATTTCTGATGCAGCCTATAACATTAAAGGAGATCCTTTCACACACAATCATTGAAAACATAATAATAATTTAAAGCAAGATTTTGGATTTTTTTTTTTTTTCTGGCAGTATGCTTCACTCTCAAAGCGTTCATACAATTTAAAGGTACTGCCAAGCTCCCACCATTAAAGTAGTCCATACTCATGCACTATAACAAATATTGTTGGTTTAACTTAAAAAATCAAGTAACCTGGTTGCCTTAAAATTTTAAGTTGATTGAACTGGAAAAAGTGAGTTAATACAACGAAGGAGATTGATTTAATTATCAGAAACTCAAAATAATAACTTATCTGAACTAAATAAACAATTTTAAGTTGATTTGACAAAAGAAAAAAAAATTGTGATAACACATCTTGAAAATATATTTTTACAGTGTGTTCATTATTTCGCCTCTGTTATAGCTATTTAATGTAAATTACATACAGTATGTGCATATTAAAACATCAATATATTCTTGCATGTAATGCAACATGAGTAAGTGCACATGAGATTAAATATATGATAGAGGGAACATGTTAAGTGAAAGAAATATGTCTGTCCAATACAGAAAGCTGATGAATGGCCTCCGAAGACATCATATGTTTATGGTTGTTTTGGAGCTGTACAGCTTTTGGCCAGGCTCTGTTTATGTTTTTTCTACAAAACCATACATTATTCATATTTTTTTGTGAAAGAAAGCAAATTTGGGTTTGGAACAACTCAAGTGTGAGGAATTAATGACAGAATTTTTTTTTTTTTTTTTGTTGAACAAACTAACCAATTAAATTTCTTTAATTTAGGAACTGATACACTGAAAGCCACCAATGGGTATTACACATGTGAGTGCCATTTAATGCTGTTTATTTCCTGAAAAAAATAAATAATATTCAATATTTGTCCACTTTGTGCTCTTCATTGTATTATTATTGTTATTTTTAATGGTTTCTTTCTTTCTTTCTTTCTTTCTTTCTTTCTTCCTTCAACACTCAGCAACAATAGTTGGAGTTTCAAGCATAATTATCATCTGCGTGGCAGCAGCTGTATTCCTTTTCTGGTGGAGGTATGTTGTATAAAATATATTGTGGAATGTTTTATTCTGTCATTTTTTGCAGCTTCTTATTGAATTGTTTTCATCCTCCAACCCACAGGTTAAGACATCGAGAAAGAGATAGTCCAGAAGTGTCCTACATACCCGTACAGTTGGTGCATCTGAACACTGATCAGCTGAACCAAACATAGCAGTCAACAAGCCCACAACAGACTCTGTCAAAGACACAAATAAACCACAAACAGGCTCCGCCCATAATGCAGACAACACAAACAGGCTCCGCCCATAATGCAGACAACACAAACAGGCTCCGCCCATGGTGCAGACAACACAAACAGGCTCCGCCCATAATGCAGACAACACAAACAGGCTCCGCCCATGGTGCAGACAACACAAACAGGCTCCGCCCATAATGCAGACAACACAAACAGGCTCCGCCCATAATGCAGACAACACAAACAGGCTCCGCCCATGGTGCAGACAACACAAACAGGCTCCTGCTGTTAAAGACTTTGCCCTGAGCAGTCCATGACATACCATCTCAGCTGCACATATTTGATTAACCTCCATCCATTGTGCTTTACCTCACTCTACTCCTTTTACGTTTTTCAGAAAATTAATAAAGTTTTTATATTGTTTTTACGTCACGGTATGTGTATGATCAATGACGAAACACATCACCCATCACAGATGTAGAGTGTGTAAAATCTATTTATTTAATTTTTTTAAATCGTTAATATGTTTTTAGACAAATGCTTTCCAGATTAATTACTTTTTAACAGACATCCGTACTACTAAGACGAAACTTTTAGTGATTTATCTAATGGTTTTGCTCATGTAATCAAGGGCTGCGTCCGAAAACTGATAAATGCTGCCTTCGGAGGACACATCGCAAGGTCCGAAGGCTTCAAGGCACATCCAAATGCAATATTATTTGCTATATTCACTTCCTGTCTCCTGAGATATCTTCAACTGAACGATTTTTGAAGCAGCATAGATGTGTCCGTCGCTGCTTTTCCCACAATCCTGTGCTTTTCATTTTGTGGCAGTATGCCAATCAAGAGTTTACTACAATGCCAATTGACCTTTTGCCAGCCCTCCCCCAAAACGGTGTTGAAAACCTTTTTCTTCTCAAGTGTAGGAACTCAGAAGTAAAGACCAGGAGACTCGGTTGTATCTTTTTAAGCGGGATTCTTTACCGCTGTTGCATTGCTGTAGTCTGCTTCGTCCAAAAATCTTAGCCAAGTCTATCTTAGGGAGCTTTACATTGTGTTTATATACATTTCAATGGGAGGGATGACATAGAGGTGGAGACCCTCTGAAACAAAAAATTAACTAAATTCAATTTGTTAAACTAAATTTATGATACTACAACAGCCATTGTCCAATCACACATCATAGCAACCGTTACTATGTGAGCAGGTCCATCAAACATTAGGTGTGTTCAACATCGGCTGCGGCTGGATGTAACCGATCGGCGAGAGTTGCCGCGTGCAGGCGGGGAGGAACTGCAAACGAACACTTTCTGGTTCCCGTAGTGACCGCTCACGTGGTGTTTGCAGATTTTACCACAGCGCAAGTGAAACAAATGCAACATTTGCATATTTCAGACACATTTTCATTCAATACTTTACTGCATCATACAGCATCTGTTTGAACAAGAATAAGTTCAAAATAAACCTATGTCAATGAAGTGGAGTTAACGTTTTTGAATCAGTTTTTATTTCGATAAACATGACACACATCGCGACTACATGAAAAGACTGTTTACTGTTATAAAAGACTGATTTGTGAGCTTTAGTGGAACTAAAGGTGTGAGAATAAACACAAAACGCACATGATTGTTGTCATGCGGTGAATCCGGCGAATCGTGGAACAGTTGTGCCGCCATCAGAGCTTGTGCAGTTTCGCTGGCTGAGTTCTCTGGCTAATTTCAAAACGCTCTCGCGGTACTTTGATAGCATACGTCAGTCATGTGGAGTCAGCGCTGCATCAAGTCGGACAAAATTTCTAACCGGCATGCACTGCTTCAAGTCAGCTGCTGATTGCTCTGCGCAGATCTGCATGAAGTCGAACACACCTATTGACTCCAAGCAAGATGGTGAAGCGGTGCGCCCACGGCATTTGTAAATCGGACACTAGATAACCCGAGATATTGTCTGGAGGAGTTGTGTTCTTTCCGTTTCCAAAGCGAAAACACAACAATGGATAAAACAGTGTCGACGGACCCATTCCCAGTTAAAAGACATGGGCTACGTTCACACTGCAGGGCTTAATGCTCAATTCCGATTTTCTGAAAAAATTCGATTTTTTTGCAAGGCCATTCACATTTCCAATTAAATGCGACCTTTTGTGATCTCCTGTGTGAACGTGAAATGACTCGTGAAGTGACCCGCATGCGCAGAAGAGTACTCAACGGTCAACGCCGTCACTTGTTGTTTGCGGAAGTAGCTAAATGGATGTCTTACAGTGGAGCTCGTTTAGCAATATTAAAGTTATTTTCACAACAGAGCCAGCACACTTACAATCTTCTCGTTTTGAGAAGAAAATGAAACAGAGAAACGTGTGGGTGCGGTGTCGCAGCCAGGAGTGGTGGGATACTGATGTGAGTGGCTTCACTGATACAGAATTCATCAGTAACTTCCGAAAGACCAGATCCACCGCGTCTTCGATCAACTCTGTCACGGGAAGAGACACGTCTGCGGCGGCCCATAACAGTGCAGAAACGCGTTGGAGTTGGAGTGTATTCGCGAGCTACAGGTGCGTGCAATGACGTGCGTGTCGGATATTTGTGACCTGGCCGTTCAGATTGAAGTCGCATTTCAAAAGATCGGATACATATCGGATTGGACCACATATCCAAGTGGCCTGGGTCGCATTTTAAAAGATCGGATCTGTGTCGTGCAGACTGTCATTAAAAAATCAGATACAGGTCGCATAGGGGCAAAAAAATCGGAATTAGGTCCTTTCAGCCTGCAGTGTGAACGTAGCCATGGTTAACTTGCATGCAGCGTGCGTGAGACTAAGACATTGAGATTAGTCAAAGAAACATGGAGAAAGCAGATCAAGAGGATCCACAAATGAATTACATTTTCTAAAAGGTTGTTGTTAACATGATATTCTCTGGGCAAAATGAGCAGCAGTCAACTAGCAGTCCAGCACCCGTAATTACAGTTTAGAGTGCACGTTTGCAACGGGGAAAGCATTAAGCTTACTTGACAACATCAGTTTATATATCAATATCGTAACCAATAGAAATAACCTTAAAGAATGAATGGTTATCTGCATCTTTCCGTCTCATGTGTACTTTTTAAACACGAAAATCCAAATGGTTCAAGGTCCAAAAGACAGTTTTAGTGCAAACTGCAAACTGTTCAAAGGGCTTTAAACGATTTCAGACGATGAATAAGGGTCTTATCAAGTGAAACGATCGCTCATTTAAAAAAAAAAAGTTTAAAGGGTTAGTTCACCCAAAAATGAAAATTCTGTCAGTATTTACTCACCCTCATGTTATTCCAACCCTATAAGACCTTCGTTCATCTTCGGAACACAAATAAAGATATTTTTGATGACATCTGAGAGCTGGATCACTCCTGCATACTAGTCCATAGGCTTCTTGAGGGATTGAAACTTGCTGGCACAAGACTAGGAAAAATCAAGGAGATGATGGCAGAATCATGACAGAACCCCCACCTTAAGGAGCCACCAAACACGAGACAAGACTGACTGAGACATAGACAAGAACCAACAAAATATGACAAATAACAGTAGTGGCAAACATGAAAACACAACACAACAACATGGTTAGGATGACAAATTAAAAATAATAAACACAGAAGGGGTGGTGGAGGAAACACAGAGTTCATGGAGGATTGTCCAGGGTGCATAGGTGGACAGGGGATCCTGGGTCTTTGGGACGAGGGCTGAGAACGAGGAATCCGTGCAGACTTGGACGGAGACACACAAGGAGAGGTCTTGGGGAAAACTGTCCGGGGCATAGTGGTGGTAGGGGTGACCGGGCAACAGACGGGGGTACTGCAGAAGGGGGCGGAGCAACAGACACCGACACAGAAGGCAGTGAAAAAGGAATCTGGACTGGGGAAACAGCAGTTAAAGGAAACGGGCACATGACAGGGGGTGAAGCTGGAGGCTGTGGAGCGGGAACAGGAACTGGGCTCTCAGAAGCTGCTTCAGAACCAGTGCTCTCCATAGCAGACTCAGAAACATCGATCTCTGCAGTAGACTTTGAAACAGGGTTCTCTGCAGCTGGCTTCAGAACAGAGCTCTCTGCAGCCCTAGACACGGGGTCTGGGGACAAGGCAGGTCTGACAGGGACTTCTAGGATCTTGACAAGACGTGATAAATAATCCGACAGGGTCTTGGCAGCAATGACGACAGGCATCTCCTTCTGAGCAGAAACTGTTTACAGAACCTGCTTAGCGGCTAGATCGGCCGCAACTCTCTCAGCAGATCCAGAACCGGCCTCTTTTGCAGTAGATCTTTCGACAGCGCTTACAGTAGGGAGCCTCGGGAGAAGAAACAGCGGAAACCTGATCCCCATGAGTGACAATAGCTAGGACTCGACCGTCAGGAATTATTGGTAGGCAGGCAGCAGGCGAAGACCTTGAGGATGCCGCCTCGGACTCCTCTCGGGAGAAATGGTCATACAGGCGAGAAAAGTTAGACAAGATCCACTCACTCTCGGGTAAGTATGGAAGGGTGACACTCTTCTTGTTGACAGGAGAAGACAACCAGACTTCTTTAAGGGGGTCCGGACGACACTTGGTAGGGAAGGACAAACAGTCTGCTGGGTTCTTCTTTGGTCGGTACATTCTGTCATGTGGATGAAGGACGAACCCAATAGTAGACAGCAAGTAACTCAAAACAGGGACTTATTAATGACAAAAACAGAAAACAAAACCCATGAGGGGGCAAAACAGGACTGGAGGAGAGTATACTTAGACTACGACACGATGACAAACTAAGACACTGACTTGACAGGAAACAAACTCACAATTCTCATAAAACAGTTTCCAGAGAAAATACTCACAGAGATAAACTCACAATGTTTGACTATGTACCGACACAGGACAGAAGACATGAGGGGATTAAATAGGGAGCAAACTAATCAGGAACACAGGCGAAACCGATGGTCTAGTAATTACAACAAGGGGGCGGGGTTAGGTGACAAGACAACGCAAGCACAAAGCCCAAACAAATGGCCATGTGCTTACACATAAAACATGGGTGTGTCATGATCCTGCCACAAGACTAGGAAAAATCAAGGAGATGATGGCAGAATCATGACAGCTCTGTTTTGTGATGCGCGTTCATGACTCTCCTGTTCAATCTCGTTTATCAAAATGAACAAATCTTTTCAACAAGTCAACTCGTTCATTTCGTTCGTTGAATGAACCTGAAACTTAGCGTAGAAATCTAGACGCACCCTAGCGACAGCAAAAATTATTTTGCAGCAAAGCGTGGTCTAGAAACTCTCCATAGACGCTTGAACACCCCAACTCTGGAAGGGCCAATCACATGGTGTATAGAGTCGGCGGACGGGCTTCACAAAATGATGACAGAGTTGCGACGGTCAGCAAGCTCGGACATATTCGGTTTTAAGTCGTTCATCCTCGGATGCGGCCGGCGCCGTGCGCGCTGTTACAAAAAAGCTGTGGCGAAATGATCAACTTGTCATTTTGTCGTCGAGTATAAAGGCTTTACTCCGTGTCAGCGCGCGCTCTGCACGGACCTCTCCCGAATCATCTCCACCACTCCGAAGCACCACTACTCCGCCTCCGTTTCCCTCGTAAGCTGATTGTAATAAAGTTCAGTTTGGGGTGAAGAAGGAGACAGTATCGGCGAAACTGGAACTCGTACTGTTTTATTACTCAGAATCGTACAAAACAAAAAGGCGCGCACACAGCGCATTCACCGTAGCGCAGCTACAGCACAACTCATTCACAAAAACTCTTTCCACGTTGATCACCATCCGGTTCCAGATCAACCTCACAGCACGGGCACGAGTTCCAGTCAGTTTCTCTCTCCCCCTCCTCTCTCCCAGTCTGCGGCTTTTACGGTCTCCCCGCTCCAATCACTGCAAATAGACACAGCTGTTCATCATTTGCACTTGACCCACTTACTCTCCGCGCAGCTCATTGACTCGTCTCTCACTACAGACGCCGCGAAAACCACGCCCCCCTACCACATACCCCCACCGCCCGACTCAGGCCGGGGAACCGTCCGGCCTGCAGCCTCCCCCCCCCCTCCTGGAGAGGAAGTCGGCCACCGCCATCTGCGTCCCCGGCCTGTGGACCACCTGAAACTTAAAAGGTTGTAACGCCAAATACCACCGGGTGATCCGCGCGTTGGTATCTTTCATGCGGTGGAGCCATTGGAGGGGCGCGTGGTCCGAACACAGGGTGAACTCCCGGCCCAGGAGGTAGTAGCGGAGGGTGAGGACAGCCCACCGTATGGCCAAACACTCCTTCTCAATGGTGCTGTACATCGTCTCTATCTTTGAAAGCTTCCGACTGATGTACAGCACCGGCCGTTCCTCCCCCCCCACCTCCTGGGACAGGACCGCGCCCAAACCCCTGTCCGACGCGTCCGTCTGTAGGATGAAAGGGAGAGAAAAGTCAGGAGCATGCAAAAGCGGGCCGCCGCACAGAGCAGCCTTTATCTGGGTAAAAGCCCGCTGGCACTGCTCCGTCCACTGAATCGTATCTGGAGCACCCTTTTTAGTTAGGTCAGTCAGCGGGCTAGCGAGGTCCGAATAGTTAGGTACAAACCGTCTATAATATCCCGCTAGCCCCAGGAACTGCCTAACCTCCTTTTTGGTCTTCGGACTTGGACAGGTTGCAACTGCAGCTGTCTTATCAATTTGGGGACGCACCTGTCCATGTCCCAAGTGGAACCCCAGATACTTTACTTCCACCCGCCCAATTGCACACTTCTTCGGGTTGGCCGTGAGCCCAGCTCTTCTCAGCGTTTTCAGGACAGCACGCAAATACTGCATATGACGCTGCCAATCATTACTATAGATGATGATGTCATCCAAGTAAGCAGCGGCATATGCAGCATGCGGCCGGAGAATTCTGTCCATCAAACGCTGAAAAGTCGCCGGTGCCCCGAACAACCCGAACGGAAGCGTGACAAACTGGTGTAATCCAAACGGCGTGGTAAAAGCTGTTTTTTCTTTGGACATTGGAGATAAGGGGATCTGCCAATATCCCTTTGTTAAATCCAGTGTCGAATAAAATCGAGCGGAACCAAGCCGATCAAGCAATTCGTCAATCCTCGGCATTGGATAAGCATCAAACTTAGACACCGCGTTCACCTTTCTATAATCCACACAGAACCGAACCGAGCCGTCAGGTTTCGGGACTAAAACTATCGGGCTTGCCCAGTCACTGTTGGATTCCTCTATTACCCCCAGGTCCAGCATTGTCTCTAATTCGTCTTGAACCACTTTTTTTTGTGTTCCGGTAAACGATACGGGCGGCAACGTACTACGGCCCCCGGATCAGTCTCAACGTGGTGCTGAATGAGATTCGTTCGGCCAGGTAGGGGCGAGAACACATCCGCAAACTCTTTTTGTAAATTCTTAATGTCAGTGAGCTGCGAGGGTGAGAGGTGGTCGCCAGAGGGAGCCAGAGCGAAGGAATGGTGTTTGATATTCGCTTCTGGCCCGAGGTCCTCCTCTCCACCTACCACCGTCGCCAGCATCACTGCCTCAGCCTCAACCCATTTTTTAAGCAGGTTGAGGTGGTAAATCTGACGTCCCCCGCCCCTATCTGTTCGCACTACCTCATAGTTGAGATCCCCAACCCGCCGTGTGACCTCAAAGGGCCCTTGCCACTTTGCGAGTAATTTCGAACTGGACGTGGGAAGTAATACAAGGACCTTATCTCCCGGTGCAAATTGACGAAGTCTAGCCCCCCTATTATATTGCTGCCTCTGTCTGTCCTGGGCCTGTAACAAATTCTCCAAAGATAGCCGCCCCAAAGTGTGAAGTTTCGTTCTCAGGTCCAGGACATACTGAATTTCGTTTTTGCTAGCGGATGGTCCGTCCTCCCAAGTCTCCTTCAGTACATCCAACACCCCACGGGGTTGACGACCGAAAAGAAGCTCGAAAGGGGAAAACCCCGTGGAGGCTTGGGGGACCTCGCGTATAGCAAACAACAGGGGTTCTAGCCACTTATCCCAATTTTTGGCGTCTTCGTGAACGAACTTACGAATCATGGCTTTTAACGTCCGATTAAACCGTTCGACCAGACCATCCGTTTGTGGGTGATAGACGCTGGTGCGAATCGATTTAATGCCTAACAACTCGTAAAGTTCGCGTATTGTCTTTGACATAAACGCCGTGCCCTGATCGGTGAGGATCTCTTTCGGGACCCCCACCCGGGAGATTAAAGAAAACAGCGCGCTTGCGACACTCTTAGCTGAGATATTGCGAAGCGGAACTGCCTCCGGGTATCGTGTTGCGTAGTCCACTAAGACTAACGCAAAACGATGCCCTCGTGCTGACCGTTCTAATGGCCCGATGAGGTCCATGCCAATTCGCTCGAAGGGGACCTGCATCAGTGGAAGGGGGCACAAGGGTGCTTTTGGAGTGGCCGGTGGATTAACCAACTGACATTCGCGACAAGACGCGCACCACCTGCGCACGTTCTCGTGAATGCCCGGCCAAAAGAATCGGGCCATGAGACGGTTTAGTGTCGCCGTTTGCCCTAAATGACCGGCCATCGGATTAGAGTGAGCCGCCTGGAAAAGCATTTCCCGACGGCTCTTTGGTACCAATAACTGGGTTGTATCCTCATTTGTCTGGGCGTCTCGGGCCACCCGATACAACCTATCTTTAATTATGCAAAAATAGGGGTAAGAGAGCGGTTGGTGCGGGTGGAGCCGCCGTCCGTCGATGGACTGGACCTTATCAAACGCATGTTTGAGCGTCTCATCCTGGGACTGCTCCAAGGGAAAATCATCGCGCTCAGAGAGAATATTTCCCTCTGACGCGCTCTGTTCCCCCGCCGCAGTGCCCAGAGGTCCCGGTACAGTGTCTCCCACCTGCACCAACGCTGTCTTCCCCCGCTGTTTTTTCCCCCGAGCGGCACCCGCACATAAAAATTTCAACAAATTCGTAAAGCCCGGCCAATCCGTACCCAAAATTAGCGGATGCCGGAGGTGCGGGTTAACTGCCACCTCCACACTATGCTTTTGACCCCGGAATAAAATTTGTACCGGCATTAAGGGATAACTCACCACGACCCCGTGCACACACCATACCTTAACCATGCGGCTGTTATCCAATGCCCCAGATCGAATCAGGCTTTGATGAATCGAGGTTTGGTTACATCCGGAATCCACCAAAGCCTGATAAGTACCCCCCTTGATACTCACGGGTATCTGGTACAAGCCAGCTTGATCGGGGGCGGCCCTTGGCGCGTCGGGGACCCGGACCAGCGTCCCCACCTCCATCACCGGACAGCGATCAATAAAGTGTCCCGGATCCCCACAGCGCCAACAGGCCGGCCCGGGCTTTCCCGCTGTCCCAGCGGCGGGAAGTGGGGCAAGGGATTGGTGTGGGGAGAGCGCAACGACCGGAGCCGGGGAGGGGAATCCCCCGCCCGGTGTCCCCCCCTCCGTCATCCTCCCGGCCGACGGGGAGTCCCTCTGGCCGCCGGATCTCCATCGCGGCGCGAGCCTGGGCGCCGGCCCACCCCGAGACCTGGGAGAAGGAATAGTTTTTCCAGAGGGGGACGAGAGAGAGACTGGGGAGGGGGAGAAAAAAGAGTGGGAGAGAGAGGCAGATGGGAGGGGTTCGCCGACCCCCGAGCACGCCACCATGTGATCTTCCGCCAGTTGGATGGCCTGGTCCAGGGACGTCGGACGGTGGCACTGGACCCATTGAGCTGTTTTCTTGGAAGCCTCGTGATGAACTGCTCCAGAACCACCAGGTCGACGATTGTCCCGACGTCCCTTCCCTCGGCCACCAGCCATTTACGGCAGGAGTCCCGGAGCTGTTGCGCCATCACGAAGGGCCGACCGGCCTCCTCCAGAGTCAGGGAACGGAACCGCTGACGATGTTGTTCCGCCGACCGGCCGACCCGCTGCAGAATGGCGCGCCGTAGATCTTGGTAGACCAGGAGACTGGAGACTGGCAGTTGGTGGGCGGCGAGCTGCGACTCCCCTGATAGGAGTGGGATGAGTCGCAGCGGCCAGTCTGTTTTGGGCCACCCCCGGGCCTCAGCTGTCCTCTCGAACAGGTCCAGGAACGCCTCCGGTTCATCCTGGGACCCATCCTTGACACCGAGAGTGCCGCGGCCGATGTTGTAGCGGGGGTGGCCGCAGCCCCCTGGTCGAAACAGCTCCGGAACAACTCGCGGTCCTCCTGCTGTCCTTGAAGCAGCGCCTGGAAGCGCTGCTCGTGTTCTTCCTTAAAGGACAGCAGGGCTTGATGTTGTTCCCTCTGCATGGCCGCGAGTGATTGAATAATCTCCGTAAACGGCGAACCTGACGGGCTCGACATGGCGACGGCGGTCTCCTTCTTCCCGGGTTTCGGCACCAGTGTAATAAAGTTCAGTTTGGGGTGAAGAAGGAGACAGGATCGGCGAAACTGGAACTCGTACTGTTTTATTACTCAGAATCGTACAAAACAAAAAGGCGCGCACACAGCGCATTCACCGTAGCGCAGCTACAGCACAACTCATTCACAAAAACTCTTTCCACGTTGATCACCATCCGGTTCCAGATCAACCTCACAGCACGGGCACGAGTTCCAGTCAGTTTCTCTCTCCCCCTCCTCTCTCCCAGTCTGCGGCTTTTACGGTCTCCCCGCTCCAATCACTGCAAATAGACACAGCTGTTCATCATTTGCACTTGACCCACTTACTCTCCGCGCAGCTCATTGACTCGTCTCTCACTACAGACGCCGCGAAAACCACGCCCCCCTACCACACTGATATTAGTATTTAAACATTCTCTATGATGTAATTTTTTTAATGACACACACACGTCTCTTTCTCTCTCATACACACACAAACACACACATACTGTCTCTTTCTCTCTCACACATATGTAGGCTAGTTATAAACTCTTTAGACTTTTAATAATTTGTATTTTATTTTTAAAGTTTGTGGGTCGTGTAAAAAACAAAAAAATCCCTTATTTTGGGGATGGATTCCTGGAAATGTTCAAATTCAATGTTCAATGTTGACAGCTAGACTGGATACAGTAAAAGTTTAATATATCAACTTGCTCCGCTGAGTACGTCACCTTCTTCTTTGCGCTGATTGGCTTTAGTGCTATCCAATTGTGCAGAGAGAACTTGAAAGACAACCGTTTATCCCGCCCCTCGGATTGAGCCCTGTCAATGAAGAGTTTCCAGACCTAACATCTTGATGTAGGTCTGGCATGCCAGGCTACCTGAAACTGTCTTTTGGACCATTAACTGTTTGGTTACCAGTAAAGTGCATTATAGACGATTTCATCAGACGCGTTGCCATGGTGATGAGCTGGCCCAAAGTTAACTTCCGTTCTGTTCGTTTATTAGTGATTACTGGATAATATGGCATTGACTACAAATGCAGTGAAAGTTAAGGTGATGAGCAGGTTGTTGAGCTGTGGGGTGCAACCTGACCTAGGGAGCAAACGCAATTTTTAAAAATAAAAATGTCAAGGTTTCCCATGAGGGAGACGGCGGTATTAAAATAGCCTATGTTTATCTGAGTGATAACCGGTACAGTGTTTCCCATATATTTATTAGTGGCAGCCCACCACATTCCCACCATTAAGATGGGAAAAGTTGTAATTGACTGCAGAGTTGCGTGCAGCGCATATTCGCACGCTCTCTCTCTCTCTCTCTCTCTCTCGCAAACACATTGACAGCGGACCAGTCTGTGTATTGAATGGTTAGTATCATAAACAGCGCTGCACAGATCCATCCAACATGCTGTCAATGTGGAGACCCACCTTAAAAAAAGGTTAGCAAGCATGTAAGAAGCCTAGCTAATAAGGAGAGCTATGTTAACCTTATCAAACCCCGCCGTCGCGCTCGCCAGTTTTTTATTTTTATTTTTTTTTTTTTGGTAAATCAGACACGTCGGTAGAAAAACATCTTGTCTCCAATTTTTGTTCAACGGATCTGGTAGTGTCACATTTCAGTTTGGCCAGGTAACATTTATTTTCTTTGACTGGCAAGAAATACCAGCTACTAGGTTATTTACGTGTTATGGATTGTCTCCGCAAGTCTGCCGGAAGTTAAGTTTGGGCCAGATTAATGCACATGCGCAGTACCGTTTGTTTATGTTGTCACTGCTGAAAGCGTCTATATGGAGAAGAATCCTGGAATGTTTTCATCAAAAACCTTAATTTCTTTCTGACTGAAGATAGAATGACATGGATATCTTGGATGACATGGGGATGAGTAAATTATCAGCAAAAGTTTTTTTAAAAGTGAACTACTCTAATGTCTGGGGATTTGGTGGTGTGGTGAGAGCACGAGCTGTTATATTGAAAATTGCTGGTGGTCATAAGTTTGTGTTTAATATACATTTTTGATCAATGTTTTCCACTTATGATCTCATTTCTTGCAAGAAATTACTATTGTAGTCATTAAATATTCACTTAATTTTCACCAAAGGTCACTCTATTTTGCTGTACATCATTAAATCGTTTTACTGCCTCAGAAGTCTGTCTGAAATCATATTCGTGAGGTGTCTTCGTGCACAAACGCTGCCCACAGTCAATGCCTGATAGGGCAGCGAGGCAACAAGTCGGCAACATAAGCTTTTGGACGCAGGCCAAGGTTTAGCTTGTTAGCATTAGCCCCTGCTGGTTGATGACTGTAAATATATTTTTGCAAGCAAAACATTTAACAGAAATATAACTGTTATGACTACATCAGGCTGATACTAATCTTTGTTAGCTCAGAAATGTTAGCCCGGTTGCACGAGGGACAAATGGGAATATCCAAGTGTAGGGATCGAACACAGCAGTCAGTGTGGTGGCTAGATTGCCAAAATAGTTGCGCAATGTGAGGTATGTTTGAGACATCAACCCCAGCACACTGTACCTATGATACCATTCCCATTACTCAGACTGCCCAGGCATAAGACTTGAGGCTTATCTGTTCTTCCAGAAAGGAACAACCTTCTGGTCATAAAATACTTCTCGAGGTACGTCGAAATCAAGAAGATGCTGATCACTGCAGCTAAAGGGGTAATAAGCACTAAAGGACATTTTCTCTAGGCATGGAGTGCCAGAAACACTAATAAGTGATAATGACCGACAACTGGCTTTATGCACAGCTGCACTACTTCCTGAACTTAAGCCAGCTCCTTGTTTCCTGTCTGCCATTATTGGCCAAGCTTGATTAATTCAGGTGTGTCTGATTATTGTGGCCATGAATACTGAGGTCAGGCACACCTGAATTAATCAATTTGTCCAATAACGGCTGACAGGAAACAAGGAGCTGACTTCAGGAAGTAGTGCAGCTGTGCATAAAGCCAATTTGCATCTGCCGAGTTTTCAGCCTTTGCTGCAGATTATGATTTTATTCACATAACCATATAGCCCATACTGTAGCCAAAGTAATGGGGACGCAGAAAGGGCTTCAAAAACAATTAAGACATTGCTGTTTAAAAATCAGGATCCTTACCATGCACTACAGTTACACCGCTGCTACATGGACCCTCACCGGCTGAAATGGTAATGGGCAGGAAGTTGAGATCTCCACTGCCACAGGCAAAATCACAACTCATGCCACTTGCAGATGCAGATTTAAAAATTAAGGAGGGCAAGAACATTTCAACAATTAAGCGACAGGAGTATTGGATAGTTCCTTTGAAAAATTATATAAATGGAAGCGGACATCAGCCGGCAACAGAAAAAGACACAATCAGCGAAGAACAGCTATTGAGGGTGAAAAACAAAGAAAAGAACCCAGCTTGGCAAGTTAATGATTAATGACTGGCTTAAGGCCAAAAATACGTCTATGGACAAGGTAGAGAGAGAAGGGGGCAGGTGCTTTAAATACCCAGCTGCAAGATTTCTATGCCACCATTTGAAACTCATTCACTGTTGTATTTCCCCAAGAGCTGGATTGAACTTCTTTATCCCAAATATAGCATCATTGGGTAATCAGAATTCAAATAATCCAATTACATATTTAGGGCCGTCCTAAAAAAGGTTTTGCACGGCTGGGAAAGATGTCAGTAAGTATTCATTAGTAACTCACCATATCTGTCACCAGACAGCAGCCGGGCTGGTTCGCAAGGTCTGGTTTGACATTTCGCTGAACTTGGCGAAGAGTGGGTGGGAAGGTAATCGAGAGTTAAGAAAACATTAATTTGCCATTAAAAAGACCATTATGGTAATGAATATATTTGCTACATTAGTTACATGGTGGTACGGTGTTCCGAGCCTATTGGTATTAGGAGCGATGTATTTTAACTCCTCTGGATTAATTTGTCGAGGTAGAGGCCTTATGTCTATTTTTCAAGCTGACATTTGATGTCTGACATTATTTTATCTTACAATCTGCATTTTAAAGACAATGTGATTGACAAAATATTTTTTTCTGATCACAAGCCAGTGTTTTTCAAAACCACCACCAGAAATAAATGGTCGTGAAAAATTACTCCAATTACTGGTATAGAGTTTTCTATGTTATATATAGACCGTTGTGAATCTACCCAAATTCTACCCCGTGGAACCTCCTTGATGTACTTAAATGTTGATAAGCATCTGACATAGCTTAACTCTTTGGTTCTTAAAATTTTGGACACTGTTGCTCCTCTTACGCCACAAGATAGATACCTCAAACTTTGCCATGGGTAAATGAATCCATACATGCATACTCTTAAACAAACTGCTGGTTCATTATGACATATTTACAAAGTCTCTGTTAATATTTTATATTAATATCAATAATTAACCCTTGTGCTGCATTAGATTTTTTATTTATTATTATTTTCCACTTTTACCAAGTTAAATCTTCTAAACAGCATCAGTCCTCATCATAACTACCAAATATTTATTCAATTTCAGGATTTTAACCCTTTAATTACTAGTTTTGGTGGCGATACCATCAATTTTTATAAGAGGAAAAAACACAAAAATGTAATTATTTGTGTAATTTGTCGGGGTAGAGGCCAAATTACATACCATTTGCAGTAAAACAGCCACAATGGTCAAAGAAATTAAACTGCAAATGACCAAAAATGTCCCTAATGCAGCACAAGGGTTCAACTAAATTATTAATCCCGCTCAAAACATACCCAGATCCCT